GAATTCTCCACTTATGCAAATTGGACATGCAGGGTTTTCATCCGTGATATCTGTTAAACCCTGAAATGCAAAATGGTGTAAATGCAGTCATTGGCTGTCAGCAGTTTGAAAACCAAATTGTGTGTTTCAATGCACGTAACACAAATGGAGAGAGGGAGAAGGCAATTTTAAGTTGGGCTTCGTGTTTCTTTGAAAAGTGCAGGGCAAGGGCAGAGTTGACTGGCCAGGCTCATGGCTGTGGCCCGGGTGGAAGAAATAAGAGGATAGGAGTGCATGAACAAGGATTATGAAGGATTAATGCCAGGATTAGGTAGCAAGTGTGTGTGGAACTGGTAGCAAGAGGGAAAGTTCAGGGGTGGGAATGTGAAAAACAAGTAAATGTGGTGGAAAACTGCAATTTTGTGCTGAGTTAAGTGAATAATGATGAAAAAGAGGATGGATCTTGTATTTGACAGCATCACAGAATAAATTTTGCTAAATTCTTGCAAAGGCAAGAGTGCAGAAGAAAGACATGCACCTCAAACAAGGGAGCAGAAGTAATCACTCTGAGAAGAGCAGGGCTATATAGCATTTCTGTCCACTTCACCTCCTTGACTCCTTTCTGGTGTTTAAAGAGAACAGAGTTAGAAACTTGTCTTGCTCTTCCCTATTCTACCAGTGCAGAATCTAGAGAATTTGGTAAAGGCAGTTTCATGATAACACCTTCTACTTGGTAAAGGGGACATATTTTGATAGGTCTTAGAGGCAGAATATAAGTCATAAATGCTTGAACAGTACCATGCATTTCATGTGAATTACCCGAGCTCATAACTGAGGATAGAGGCAAATTGCCAGAGGTAGTTTTACAAATGCTGAGCATCCCAGATCCTGGTAGGAGCATAAAGAGATGGAAATATCTTGTAGATCAAAAGGGAGTAAGTGATACATGTGGTATCATGTTTCCCAGAAAGTTTCAGGGTAGTGTCTGGACTTGGCATCTCACTGTGATGTGAACAGGAGGAAGGTTCTTTTTCAAGCTTCTTAGTTTTCAGTGGAAAGGAAGACCAGGAAGATCCAATGTCAAAACAAGAGTTAAGTAGGATGGCAGTACGTTGACTGACTTCATTCTCTGCTTGCTCTGTGCACATTTAGTTGAGTGCAAGTGCCCTAATTACGGCCCCTCTTCCCAGCTGCCACAGCTGCAGTGAGGCAGGTGATGGTTATGCAAAGATTCCCCAGAGGTCAGAAAAGTAGGTTTGGTGTAGCAGAAACCCAGAAAAACAAGTACTGGACAACAACAAATATCTAAAATTTAGGCAGGTTGTTTATATTCATGATCCGGGTTTCCTTCACTGTCAGTGAAGAGAAAGGGAACTCCAGGGGGCAATTTTGCCAAATAGCTTCTCTTGCTAATTACTGATGAAAATTAGATGATTGGTTCACATAAATTGCCTGTTTTACAGGTGGCTGAAGATAGGTGAGATAAAGCCTCAGGTCTTGTCAAGATCCCAAACGTTTTCCTTCAGAAAGAAAAATTGCACAAGGGCATTTAGACAAGAACCAGGCTCTGACCTTTAATAGTAGAAATAAAACAAGTTTGACTCTGGAGTAGTTCTCTGTGCTCTTTAGAATAAAAATGCCCAGTACTTCACTTGCTTGTCTGCACAAACAGTCCCAGCAGTGCATGGTCTTCTCTTTATTTCCACCGATTGCATGTACACGTTCGTATTAAGGCTCTGTGATTGATAAGGCACACATGAACAACACTCAGCTACTCTTTTAAACAGGACAAAGTTTGTTCCTGGGCTTTCTACAAATGTGTCTGACTAGAGTGAATTACACAAATGGACAGATTTACAGTCACCAGCTGACCACTTGTCTTTCCTTTCGGCCTGGTGATGAACTGCTTGAACATGAATGCATGGAGAGACTCATAAGATATATCATACCAATATATCTTACACCCTGGCTCACTTTGGGCTCATCAAACACTCTCCTCTCTCTTCTGGAAATAACTATACATGCATTTTGAAGGAAAAGCAATGACCATTCTCCCCAGACTAAACTATGAAAAATTATCTAGTAATTTTGCAATGCTGTGCAAAAATCAGAAGAAGGATTCTTCCCATCTGTGGGGTGACTACATGTTTGGAAAAAGTGTCTCATTTATTATTATAGCTTGTGAAAGTAGGAAGGATTCTGCATCTATGAGATTTCATATCCAATAACCCCTAGATTACAAAGTAAATTTACCCTCAAATGAGGGTAAATTTACCTTTACCCTCATTTACTGAAATTTAGAGTAGACTTTCTGGAATTTCTTTCTGGTAGAAGCCTGGTCCTTATCCTCATTTATATTTCCAAAGTATACTTTAAAATTACCTCAATTAAAGTGGATTTAGCTAGGTCTTGCCTATTAAAAAACAGTAAAAAGAAATTCCTAATCCAGTGCAAGGAGCATCTCTACTAGGACATGTGCCTGTAGGAGGGATGTGTAGCTAGACTAGCACACATCTACTAGACCAGTGTGCGATATTCACTCTGACATTCCAGGTGCCTACAGGTGCCCAACCAAATCAAGTCTTTCACATTCCTCCTCGATTGGGTACAGGTTCAGTGGATGATGAGGATGTTAACACCATCTGGTTGTGCAGGCACTTCTGAGACAAAGTTATAGCTGCACTGACCTCCTTTTGGATAAAAGAGGTATCCACTCCTGTCTGATGTGCTCACATCACTACGGTCAGATCTTCCATTTGGACGTGCATAAAACCCCATGTGGTACCGAGATACACAGAGACAGCAGTCAAAATCAAACAGACTGCCATTGGAAATCTATTATTTCCTTTTAAGCGAAATTGTAATAAAATGTTTGTTAATTCATGGCTACAATAACAGAATTGCCAAAAGATAAAGGGCAAAACTCTAAAGTAAATTATTCACAAGCAACCCCCTCAGATGCAACTCTCTTGAGCAGAGATAATTTTCATGCAGTGTATTTTCTAGATTATGAAAAAATGAATTTAATTCAGAGACACTACGTGGAGATTTTTTACTCCATCTAAAAAACCCTAAAAGTCTTCAGGTGGCATTAACTAAATGGATTCAAGCCACCACTATTATGAATTCTGCAGCATACGTGGCCATATAGAGATTTGCAGCAAGGTAAATGAGGTTTGAATTTAAGACTTATTATTTTTGATGCAGTTTGGTAACAGGGAAGGGCAAAGCAGATTAAAGGATGGGGAAAAGGTTTGGGGAGAAAGTTCTTGAGTTTTGTCTAGACCCTTCAGCAATCTGTTCCCTTCTTCCATCACTGTTACCTAATCCCTTTGGAACATGGTAGTTCTCACACAGCTTCTGTCTGGTGAATTTATGGCATTATGAGGAAAAAAAAAAACACAAAAAAACAAAAAAACTTTCTGATCTGATATGAGAAGGGAAATTCCACTTTATCTTGCAGCAGATCTGTTTAGGAGTTATGATGGTTATGCTGGCAGCTTTCTTCCTTTAAATATTTATTTTGACTAGCATAATTATACCCATGTATGGATACAGGTTTTATGGAATGGACATCTTGATCTTGTTCAGCATAATCCTTTATAGTACTGTCAAATAACTAATAACTTGTGTAAACTATATCTCAAGTGGAAAGTTTGCTTCTCTGACCAGAGCAAAAAAGGACTAGCAATAGTTTTCTGATGTAGGCAGATGCATTTAGATATTTTTTTTCTGCTACATAAAAAAAAAAAAAAAAAAAAAAAAGTCTCATAACACATTCTATTCTCCATATTTCCAAGTTTTTAGTTGTATCTTGATCTGATTTTATCTGAGCCTTGCTACATGTTCAAAACCCAACAGCATCTTCTTCCCAGAACTACCTGAGCAACTCTATACCCTGTTCTGTCTACAACAGAACATCTCTGATATGTGTTCTCCTCTTAGTTTAAGCCCATTTTTCTCCTTGTACTTTCTCCACTGCTAAGGGGCCTTTGACTACAGACCCTGCTCTCCAGCATGTCCCCTCAGCTATGATTTCCCCAGCTCCAAAGCCCAAGAAAGTCCTCTTCCCAGGCAAGGGCAAACCCATCCGTACCTGTCTTTTAGTCCCAAAGGGAAGCTCTCAGCCTTTTCCGAGCCAACACAAAGTTTGATTACCCCCAGCCCTAGCTGCAGGCCTGACTTTCTGCATGTCCTAATGTATCACTGGTAGTTGGGCATGCAGGACAAAACAGGAGACTGGAATGAATAGTCATTTCCTACACCCCCCCAAAAAAACAAGGTACACCAAGGAACAGCACTTGGGACTGATTCGTTGGATGAACTGGCCTGCCAGCAAGAGATAAAATGGGAACAGAAGCAAGCAAACAGCCCCAGTGCCTGCACACAGCCTTACGGCTCTGTATCTGCCTCTGACAGGGACCTGCAGGCTCCTTTATAGAGTGGCAATGTTTTTGCAGTTTGTCATGACAGTTAAGTGTTCTCAAACAGAGAGCACGAATTACACAGGCACACACGCTTCACCCTCACTGATCTCGCTGCAACAGCACCGCTGAGTAAGTAGATAGGACACTCCATTCTGTTGCCACGGAACATGAATAAATGTCATTGGTTTCAATGGGAGCTATTTGTATCCTGTAGCAGGAGAATAGCGCCCCGGTATCGCTGCTGCTCTCTGTTTGGCTCTCAGTAGCTGGATCTCTGCAATAATAGCAGGGCTGATCCTGCTGCCAATTTTCCCTCTGTTTTTGTTGTGCTGTGCTCTGCTTTTATTGAGTCGATCACTGGCTATTAGGGAGAAGCTTTCCCTCTGGCCTGTTATTCCATTATTGTTCATTATGGGTTTTTTTGCACTTTGGTGCCAGCCTCTGTCAGAGTGGAGGCTCTGGACCCAAGGGACCCCGGGAGTTCAGGATGCACAGAGAACTTGGGGCTGCAGCACAGGGAAAGATGCAAATGCAAACAGCAAGGGCAACACAACATGCCCACTGAAAGAAATACCAGCCCTGCACTTCGCTTACCCTCACTGCTGCAGCTGATAGAGGAGAACCACATGTTCCATCGGGATCCCACAGCCTCAGAGTTTTCCAGACATTTCCACTTCAGAGTGCTGCATCCCCAGCTCTGGTTTCAAAGTTGTCCCAGCATGCAAGTCTGTGCTAATCAGTTTTAGCAGGTCCATCATTTGATTGGCTTCAAAGCTGGGCGCCCAGTTGCTGTATCTCTTACAAGATAAGGCAGGCCAGCTGGACAAGGGTTGTTTTGCCTGCCTTTAGTTTGTGCTTGTCCTTTGCAGGCAGGTCAGAGATGAAAGTCGATCTGTTCTATGTAACATTTGTCTGATTTCTTTCAGTCACTGTTGGATTAGCTTCTCACATCTTTGTCCAGAAAATATTTTTTTCACCACCCTGTGACAAACCTCTCCTTGCCTGGTATCACATGTCCATGCTGAAGGATTGTTGCCTTTGGTTTTTGTGTGTCTAAGGTTAACCAACACTGATCTGCCATGGAATTTACTCTCTCCAAAGGGGAACAAGAAAACAAAATCCCGTACAAAAAGTACAATCTCCAGAACAATCTCCACAGCAAAAGTCTTGGGTGCAAGTCTCTTTCCATGGAAACACCTTGCAGATGGCTGAGTTTCAGCACTTACCTGGGCTGACGGGTTTATTGTTCTGCACTGGAGGAACTTACATGTGAAAGGGTCTTACATATGAACTTAAGCCATGTTCTGAGCTACCAGAAATTGAAAACTTCTACAAATATCTTTTCACCTAATGTGAAGCCTAAGGTGTTGGTTTTCTAAGCAGCAATGATTTTTTCATGGTAAGTAATTTATTCCATCATTACTTTTTTTCTTTCCTCTCTGTGAACTGATTATAAATATCTCTTATTTACACCAAATTCAGATTTGGTGTACAAGCCATTTTGCACATAAGTTTTTGCAAGTGTTTCCAATCTGAGATTTCTGACCATCGTTGCAGGGATTGTTCTGAGAGGGGGGATGCTCTCTTTGATGCCTCTTGATTGAAAGACTCTGTAACTAACTCAGCCAGCTGGAACTGTGGAGTCCAAGAAGTGGTCCTTCTCCATCTTTAATCAAAGCATTTTGTCCTCACTGCCTTGCCTTCTCCAGCAACTGAACTTTAAGTCACCTTGGTGTGGATTCAGGCATCATAGATTTGCTTCCCAGCTTTGTTTCTTATCATGTTTCGAAGCCCTCTAAGTGATGGATGCTATTCCTGTTCTTGTATCCCTTTCTTTTAGGGGGTAGAGTGTGTGTGTGTTTTCAAAGGTAAACTGACAAGTTAAACTAAAAGGTTTTGCAAAGAATGGGCAGGAAAAGAAAAAGGAAACAAAAAATAAAAAAATTTAGTCCATAATATTATTTGCAAAACAGGAGATCTGCCTAGCATAGAGTAATGATATTAATACAAGTGCACATGCTTGTGCTGAAAGGGAAAGGTGAGACCAGTAGGTGATGGAAGATGAAACATCAGAGTGGAAACAAATTCAAATGGAACTCAAAGCATGAGAAATGGATAAATCCTTTGGGGTTTGGTGACTCACAAGGGTGGAGCTTCATTTTTCTGGGTGGGGGTGCAGAGGAATTAGAGCACTTTTTCCTCCCAGCATGGTGCTAGTATTTCTAGTCCCAAGTGGTCCTGCAAGAGAGAGAGCAGGGAAAGAAAGAAACACCACCTTTTGAGGCAAACCATATGTTTTTACATTTATTTTTGTTCTCTCTACCCTCTCCTTTCCCCTTCAATCATGCTGTCAGCATCAGCATTCATGTCTATATCCCCTTTTTTTGGGTAACTTTCTTTGTACCAGGCTATTTTACTTAAAGGTTTCTCTAGTTTAACAGCCTGGCTTATTACCCATGTTTAAGATTGGAGTCATATGGTTTGCCCAGTGACATCTCCCTTCCTTCCCCTTAGTTCCCCTTCCCCGCTTAAAGGTTTTTCACTGCCGATCCAGCAGAAGTTTCCAGCCCAGAGCACAGCACAGACCTTGTGTGAATTACATACTTCAAACACCGCCGTTCAAGAGAGCTGTGGCATATGCTGACTGGCTGGAGTTTGGGGTTAGTTGACAGGAAACGTCTTGATGAAGGACCTCTCCTTTCGACAGCCTGCTGTTTTGTGTCTGCTCTCAGGGATGAACAGCAGCCCCAGCCCAGACAGGGCCCCTCTGTCCAACCATTGAACCAGGCTCCTTGCTTGTTTCCAGTTGCTTTGACTAGACAAGAAACAGCGGAGCTAATGGACAGAAGGGGATATTAATTTGCATTTGAATACAGCCCAACACAGTTACTCAATGTTACTGCTGGGTAATGGGAAAATTAAGCTAAAAGGGAGTTAGCATATGGAAAAGAAATGTAGCTGATGCTGAGAAAACAGACCACAGTTGCAGTGAATTAGTGTCCACAGCTGTTACACAGGATGCCTTGCTGCTCTCGGGGCAGGTAGCATTGCAAAAGTAAATATTCCCTTTTACACATGTTATTATACCATGCAGAGTGCCTGGAGAAATAAAGTCAACTGAGAGGAATTAAAAAAAAAAAATGGGGGAAAAATTGATGGTGCTGCAATAGTAATGCTCTAGTGATTAAAAAGCCACAGAAGCAAAGGAATGGAAAAGGGGAAAGATCCTGCCATTCTTAGAAAAACAATAAAAAGACATACAAATGTTTCCTTCCGCTTGTGGTGGGCCACCACCATTTTCCAGGAGTGGGTCTGGTTAATCGCAGCAATTCTGCCTGAGTCAGAGGGAGCCTGGAGTTAAATCTTTATGTGTGTTTCTGTGTGCTCCCCATGCCGTGAGAGCAATACATGGTCACTGTCCTGGAGCTACCGCTTTCTTTTAGTCCACCTCTTATCAGGTCTGGATTTCCTTTCCTGCCCAGAGTGACACTGTGAGATATCTGTTATCCCATGGAAATAGGCAGGAGGTTTGGAAGGGTTCACATGAGCAGATCATGTATATCTCCAGGTTTTTTTTTTCATTCAGCCCTGGTTTGGTCTGTAGCATTCACTGCTATGATCCTGCTATGGCATGGACTCACTGCAGAATAATGTGGAAAGCCACAGTGCTTTTCCCCTCTTATCTTTAAATTCTCTTTTTTTTTTTTTTTTTATTATTTATTTTTTTTAAGGGACAAAATTTCCCTCTTGAAAAAGTTTTAAACATATTCAAGTCCATGAACAGACATCCTCACCCTTTTTTTACGAGACAAACTAAAGTGTTGCTTTTCCAAGCTGGCTAAAATTTGCATCAATAAGCCAAATTTTTCTAAATGTGCTAAGACCCCCCAGTGCTCAACATAGTCAACAAAAACTTTCAGTACCCTTTGAATTTTGCCACACATATTCCAGAAAAATAAATACCTATAGAGATGATAGATTTTTATTTCATTTCAAAGGAACATCTAGAATTTAGTTACATATCTGCAGGCAGTACTGGTGCATGGTTAAATATGTTGCAAGCTTTGAACTGCTCAAGCATGACTTCAGAACGATATTATTGTCTGTGCCTCTTATTGGATACATCAGATGAAATGCACTTCAGGCCTTTGCTTGGTAGCTGATTTCATTAGAAAAATATAAACTTTTTTATCTCTTTCACATCTAGTAGTTTTGCTTGGGTTATTTTTGTTACTGTTATTATTTATTTTTTTCTTTGTGTTTGGGTTTGGTTTTGTGTGCGTGTTTTTTTGTTGTTGATTTTTTTTTTAACAGATCTTTTACTTCTGAAGCCTGCTCCATGCTGCTCTTCAGCCACTGTTATTATTACCAAATTCTTTCTGAGTATTCGCTACCTCCCTCATAAATCATTACATTCCCACTTAGCAAATTTAATAACAGGATCTGGTTTCAATCCTCCTTGCACAGAAAAGCCACTTCAGCTTTTCATTTGGACAAGGAACTCAATGGAATGTGCCTGGTGCATGCCATGACTGCAGAGACATGGGCTTGCCTCGCCTCTGCTGCTGGAGACAGAATGGTAAGGGATGGAGAAAGTTTAAAAAGTAAATAAATAAATAAAAAAAAGAAAAGAAAAGAAAAAAATATATAATAATAATAATAACAAAAACTTTTTCCATTAGCCTAAAAAGAGAGAAGAAACATTCAGGTTCCAAACTGAAAATTATGTAAATCCTGAAAATGTATAAGAAGCTGAAGTTTTAGTAATTATGGCATCTGTATTAAGACATGTTTATATACTGAACCAGCACATTCACTGTGTTTTACATTATCTGGATGTTTAACCTCACCTGCAAACCCTCAGAAATGGAAATATACCATCACTGCATGGATGCAGAGCAGCAAAAGGATGTGGAAGCAGTTTACACCTTGGTCACAAACTGTAGGTATGAGAACAAGTGCCTTCAAGGTGAGGAGTAGGAAAAATTCAGCAGCAAAGCTACTCCTTAGTGAACACCTCTCCCATGCCAGGTACCCAGCCATCACTCACTGCAGGTGATCACTATTCGTGTATTACGAGTATGTGCAGGCTTGTAAACATTTACTAAGTCACAGCTGAAATATATCCACTCATTTGTTTACTCCACAATCCCATTTTCAGGTAGATGTTCCTCTATAGTTAGTTTATACCCAAATGCATTTATACAGGCTTTGCACTTGTGCTAATGTGCTCGATTTCACCCATTTGATTTCTGGCCTTGACTTTAGCTGATCCTGGCACAGAAGCCCCATGGGAGCCAGTGAGGTCCCTGGTGCTGCTGAACACCTCACTCCCGTGGATGTATTTTTCCCACTTTGATCTAGGCAGTTTAACGCCCCAACTTCTTCCTGAAGTAAAACTCTATCCTTTAGGACCCTATCTTTGCCCTCTCTCAACAAAATTTAGCTGGGATAGAAAAATCATGATATAGGGCCACTGTCCCAGTCCCAACCCTAGGGGTCTGTGACCATCTTCACAACACCCTGTGGCAAAGATTGGCAATGAGAACCACCTCCCCCTGACACTCTCAGCCTGGGCAGACTCCTTCAAATCCAGCCAAAGATCCTCTTTGATTTCAAAGCACTCTGGATGTAAGCTCTCCTATCTGAAAGCAGTCCCTTCCAGATCAGCTCCAAGGCACATCAGTTGGACATTGCGCAAAGGGTT